TTCAGAATTTGAACAGAAACAAAAGCCCAGAGTTCACGTATAAAATACGAAGCTAGATGCTTAACAGATAGATGCCTATCAAATGCAAAAAAAGGTGACACGACTGATTTTCCCCCCAAATGCTGCCACCTTGAGGATGATCCAGGCAACAGCTGGCTTATATGAACTGAAGACCAGTACAGTGGTACCATGGGTTAAGTACTTAATTCATTCCGGAGGTCCATTCTTAAACCTGAAACTGTTCTTAACCTGAGGTACCACTTTAGCTAATGGGGCCTCCTGCTGCTGCTGCGCCACCTGTGCACGATTTCTGTTCTTATTCTGAAGCAAAGTTCTTAACCCGAGGTACTATTTCTGGGTTAGCGGAGTCTGTAACCTGAAGCATATGTAACCTGAAGCGTATGTAACCTGGAGCGTATGTAACCCGAGGTACCACTGTATTTGATCTCTCTCAAATTAGTATTGTTGTGGGATTGGGAGGGTTAGACTGAGGAGGATTCAAGGAGCCAGGTCCTGCATTAACAGTCATAGCAAAGTTGCCAAGTACCTTTCTCTTGTTAGGAGTGGTAGGGCAAAAGGCAAGGATGCCAACAGTAAGGAGGAACCAGAGCCAGGTATAGAGTCAACTAATGATGGGTTTGTCTCCATCCTCCTCCCTGAATTCTACAAAGGGAATGCTGAGAGTGAGGATGCCAACAGCCAGCACCACCCACTTTACTAGCTGGAAAGAAGCAAGCAGGGAGGAGAGCTGGCAGACAGCAGAACCTGATGGAGAAGTTCCCCATTTGCACTAATGTAGTAGCTTCTACAGGTTGTTAGGGAAGTTACAGGCAAATGCCCCATGATGACTAGGAAAAGGCCAGAAAATGGTTTGGATGGCGAATGCCAGATTGTCCAAAAAAGGGGGGGGCATGTCTTACACATACATTTTCCATTGGGAAACAGCTGCAGCTTAGAGAATCTGCTTTGCAAGCAGAAGTTCCTAATTCATTCCCCAGCATCTTCAAATAGGGATGGGAATACCTCTTGTCTGAAAAACCTGGAGAGTCACTGCCGGGCAGTATAGGTAAGGCTGAACTAGATGGAACAATGGTCCAACTCAATATACGGTGGCTTCCTATGTCCTAAGTTCACACACTGCTGGTGACATCTTGCTGTCCTAGGCAAAAGGCACGTATTGGACTGGTAGCTGCTTCAAGCATTGGTGATGGAACAGCATCCTTCACTGCATTTGAAACTGACAAACTAGCTTATGGACAAACATAGCTTTGTTCTCCAACACCTCACTGCTGATACCACCACCACCCCAGCATGTCACCTGAGGAAGCTGCCTCACACTGCCTAATGTTAGAACTCACCCTGCCTGGTGAGGATGCCATGATCTAGGTGACAGGATAGAGAAAATGGGCTGCAGTTTGAGAAATGGACCGAGAAAGATATAGAGAGCTGAGAATGGGCTGGGCAAAAGCAGCTTAGGGTGCTGGGTGTCCCCCTAGAGTTTTAGCAATAGCTGTAATATATGCAAACTTAGCAATGACAAACCTAGATAGCATCTTAAAAAGTAGAGACATCACCTTGCCAACAAAGGTCCGTATAGTTAAAGCCATGGTTTTCCCAGTAGTGATGTATGGAAGTGAGAGCTGGACCATAAAGAAGGCTGATCGCCGAAGAATTGATGCTTTTGAATTATGGTGCTGGAGGAGACTCTTGAGAGTCCCATGGACTGCAAGAAGATCAAACCTCTCCATTCTTAAGGAAATCAGCCCTGAGTGCTCACTCATGAAGCTGAGGCTCCAACTCTTTGGCCACCTCATGAGAAGAGACGACTCCCTGGAAAAGACCCTGATGTTGGGAAAGATGGAGGGCACAAGGAGAAGGGGACGACAGAGGACGAGATGGTTGGATAGTGTTCTCGAAGCTACCAGCATGAGTTTGACCAAACTGCGGGAGGCAGTGGAAGACAGAAGTGCCTGGCGTGCTCTGGTCCATGGGGTCACGAAGAGTCGGACATGACTAAACAACAACAATGCAAACTTACTATGAATGGGGAACCTGTGGACATTCTAGTCCAACAACATTTGGCAGGCCACAGGTTCTCTCCCTGCAGCATGCTCAATGGGTAGGTGGGCTGACTATTCACAGACAATTCCAGTTGTCCAGCCTTGTCAAGGATGAGGAAAGCTGTTCCAGAGATTGTCAGGATGGTCTACAAACTTCTGTTAACTTACAGGCCTGCTTTCGTCTATTAACTGGCTTCAGGCAAGAAGGAAAGAAGACTGCCTTCTTCACAAGACGCCATTATGTCCAAAATGATTGTGAATGGTTTCAGCTGAAACTCAAACCTGAATGGATCAAGGCAGCTTCCACAGCTGGGTAACTGATGCCATTATAACATGTATAAGCAACATATTTCTGTTCTCGGACTAAGTCTGAGGCTTTTTTTAAAGGAAGCTTGGCATGTTCTTTCAAGCAGCCGCCAGTCTTTCTGGTGACTTCCCAAGGCAGCATAAGGAGCGCTTTGTTGCTGAACCATCAGGAGCTTGTAGAAGATGCAGCATTCCATGCTGTTTACTTCATTCCAAAGATGTAATCAAAACAAAGATGTGTTTTTGCACTGAAAACTTCACTGTGCTTCCCAACTCATGTCTATATTTATGGCTGACTTCACTATAACAACAGCAGGCTCTCTTTTTCCGTTGAGGATGCAGTTATCCAGTGATGGCAGCAAGATGCAGACCTGCCCAACTAATATCTTCAAGCAACTGGTAAATGAGCCCAGTCTCTGGGAAGCCCTTACATTCCAAATCATGTATTTATTTATCTATCCTGCCCTTCATGGGCCTAGGCACTACAGTTTCAAATCATAATATTATAAAATGCGAAGATCCAAAAAGACACATGAAAGGCAACAGACCACAGATAAAGCATGCCTTTTGCAGCTAATACATAGCAGGCAAAACTTGTCTTTATTATTCAGCAAAGACAAAAAGCATAGAATTGTACAGATGGGTATTGTAGTCCAAAACATCTGAAGGACACCAGGTTGGTGAAGGTTGGTGTATTGTCTTTCTGCCCTTTGCCCCCAAAATGCTTAGAAACATAAACTGTCTTATGATGAATCTGACCATTGTTTATCTAGCACAGTAATGGCTACACTGGCTAGCAGTGGCCCACTGGGATTTCAGAGAGAGGTCCCTCCCAGCTCTCCGTGGAAATTCCTGGGATCAAACCTGGGACAAAGCATGCAGAGCATGTGCTCTGATACCGAGCAACAGCTCTATTTCTCTTCTTATTCAGTGTTTAGGGTGTGCACAAGCAATGGGAGAGACTTCTCCTTTAATGCTCCCATTGCACTATCCATGATACAGCAATACAGCGCATAGCTGTCAACTTACAGATTTGAAAATAAGGGACCAGCAGCCAAAATAACGGACCTGCAGCCTCACCTGCTCCAGGCACTCCAGTCTTCTGTCCTCCTGCAGTCTGGTCAAACTCATGCTGGTAGCGTCGAGAACACTGTCCAACCAACTTTGTAACCAGAGGTTCAACTGAATAGAATCTGAATCACCTGCACCATAAGGCCTATGCAGCCTCAACTTAAGATGGCTCCCTGGCCTGGCTTTGCACTGCAAAGTTTGCAGCAGCACATGCAACAAAATAGCGTCCAGCATTCAAAAAACCCCTCAGCTTGCATTAACTAGCCACACACAAGGCATGCAAGCTCCACCCCCCAGTCGTTCTTAGACTTCTTATTGGGTGAACAACACAGCCAAGCAACACAGTTGGAGCCTCCCTCCTCCCTGGCCAGCAGGGAGGGAGGGAGAGGAGCTGCTTCCTTTGAAATTTAAGGGACATCATTTAAGGGACATTTAAGGGACATCCATCAATAAGGGACAGCAGCAGGACATGGCGCTAGAATAAGGGACTGTCCCTTCAAATAAGGGACACTTGACAGCTATGTACAGTGGTACCTCAGGTTAAGTACTTAATTCGTTCCGGAGGTCCGTTCTTAACCTGAAACTGTTCTTAACCTGAAGCACCACTTTAGCTAATGGGGTCTCCTGCCGCTGCTGCGTCGCCAGAGCATGATTTCTGTTCTCATCCTGAAGCAAAGTTTTTAACCCAAGGTACTATTTCTGGGTTAGTGGAGTCTGTAACCTGAAGCGTATGTAACCTGAAGCATATGTAACCCGAGGTACCACTGTAGATAATTTCCCTCTAAGTGAGCAACATTTCCCACCAACTGCAATGATCATTTACCCATGTGCTATAGAATGATGAAATTGACAAGAGTGGGAGCTGCTTGTGGTCAGTTTTATCAATCCTAAATGGGATTGGGAGGGAAATGTCCTTTTTTATAGTAGACAGCAAGGACCACTGTGGAATAATGGGAAGACCCAGGTTCAAATCACCACTCAGCAACAAAGCTCACTGTAATTGGACCAAGGTCACTCAGTTTCTTTGTCTAACCTACCTCACAGGGCTGTTGTGAGGACAAAGTACTGTAGAGTATGGCAGCTTGAGTTCCTTGGAGCAAACGCAAGATATAAACCTAATAATAAAATTAACAGGATGGAAAGCTTGAACCTGCTGTTCCTGGTCTATATCTGTATAGGATCATAATAAACTCTGCAAACTAGAATTGTTTTTAAATGTTTTAATAGTTCATGTTTGCTGCCCAGGGCTCCTTTGGGAAGAAGGGCATGCATTAAACAATTATGAGATCAACTGATACAGGGCAGAGTGCAGCTCACATTAGGAGGCTGAGCTGTTCTAACAGCCCTTAGGATTAATAGGCCACTTTTCCAGTAAAGGGAATGGCAAACCTGTTTTGTTGGACTACAGCTTTCATCAGCCTCTGACCATTGGCCATGCTGGCTGCTACTGGCTGGTGTAGAAGTCCAGCAACATTTGGAGGGCTACAGATTCCCCATCCTTGTTACAAAGAGCATACTCTCCAGTATTGAACTATGCAGGCGTTACTCTTGAGTAAAAACGTTAAGCCCTGGATTGCAAGCCTGATAAATTCAATTGGTCAGAGTTGACAGGAAGTATAAATCTGGTGTGGGAGAGGCTAAAGACTGAGAACAAAAGGGCACCTTATGCTGAAGCCTGCTTGAGTATTTTGCTCATTTAATAAACAAGGAGCGTGGCCAATTCTCTCACTACCCTTTAATAAAGCCAAACACCATCAGTTCTACAGGGCTGCAGTTCTCACAACTGCTTTCAAGCTGCTGTTGATGACTCTTGCTCACTGTCTGAAAAAAGAGATGGCACAAATGGGATTTCTGATTTTCCTCCTTGTTACCATCCTTTTGCTGGATCAAACAACTGGCCAGTCTGTCCATTCCAAAGCCAGAAAACACAGCAAACGGAGGGTTAAAGGTAAGCAAACTTAGTAGGCCACAGAGAATGAAGATTATGATGAATATATTATTTGATTGCTACCTTAGTAAATTTATTAACAAGTATTATTTTATGTTTTGCTATGTTGGTTCATCTGATTTGGATAGTTTTGTTTATGAATTCTATGATAGAAAAAGCCTGGGCACATAACATATAACACATCCTATACCCGGAGTTCCCAGGCACAGATCAAACCTAGACCTCTTCAGCTTCATGTGTCTTTAAAGTAAGGATGGGGAGCCTTTGGCCCTTCAGGTGTTGTTGTAGGAAAGGACCATAGCTCAGTTGCATGCTGAAGATTCCAGGTTCAGTCACAAGGTACATCTGGGAAAAGTTCCTGCCCGAAACCCTGGAGAGCTGCTGTCAGTGTGGACAGTACTAAGCTTGATGTACCAGTGGTCTGATTCAGTATAAGTCACCTTCTGGTGTTTCTATGACTCCATTCCTCATCAGCCCAAACCAGCTTGACCAGTGGTCAAGGATGGTGAGAACTGGGTAGGAGGCAGGGAAATGTTGATCTCCCAGAATTAGTGGCTGGGAAGAGAAAAGAAAGATCCCAGGTGAGGTCTGGGAGAGGCTACTACCTTCTGTGAGTGGTAAGGGTTAAGAAGTACCTTTAACAAAGGACTCTATACTCTATTTTTACTTTTGGTAGCCATTTTCGTTTACATTAGTTTTCTATATCTTATTGTATCATGAAAAAACTTAGTGGGGAAAAAGAAAGAAAGAACTGTCATTCAGCAACACCTGGAACATCCCCCAGCTCTGCTTTGGACCATGCCATGAGATAGTTACTATAACAGACAGCAAATAATCATGGAAAAACCTCATACCTGGGCAGTTCTTCTTAAATTTGTGCCATGATAAGACACTTTTGCATAGCCTGTTCTCACATTCTACCAGTAACATTCAAAGAGGCTAAAGCATGTGGGATGGGTAGGTAGCAAAGGTACTTCTCACACCTCTACTGCACTTCTCTTTGTGTCAAATATTACTGATGTGGCATGAGGATTTGAACACTCGGAACTGGCAAAATAAAAATAAAAATGCCCCTCACCTATGTAGTGTGGAGCAGGGAAATAAAGAAACCTGCCTGCAACCAAAAGGACATACCATACACTTAAAACACACCTGCCCCCCCCCGAATGCTTGGAACTGTAGTTTACCCCTCATAGTGCACTTAACAAACTGTGGGTGTATATTGTGTACACAGCCATATAGAACCCTACTATGTGCAGACTTCACCCTTCACAGGCAGCTACCTCCCCATGCTAAAGGAAGCCTGCAAATAATTCAGTGGGATTTATTCCCAGGTTAGTGGGGTATTGCATGCAGCCTTTGTATTGCACTCCACATCTTACTGTAAATATTTTGATGTGTCGAAATATGTTAATGTTAATGTATGTATATACTTACTTATTTAAGAGAAAGACGGTGACCTAAAGAGTCAAATTAGCAAGCTTTGGCAAGAGGTAAACTCCCTGAAGGAAATGCAAGCACTGCAGACAGGTAAGGGTTGCTTTTTATTATTCTACAGAAGGGGTGGATAATGTCTGGTCCTCCAGATGTTGCTGGATTATAACTCCCATCATCTCTGACCATTAGCCAGTGCTGGCCCTGACTGACGGAAATAATAGTTCAGCAGTATCTGGAGGGACACAAGTCCTCCATCCTTGCTCTGCAGGGTTGAATCGTTTCCTTTAGCTGGCTCTCCCCTGAATATTTTTCAGTTTTAAATGACTTTAAATGCTCGTTTTAAAACTGGGGATTGGGTTGGGGGAAGAGAGATAGATGGTAAATGGCCTGAAAGATGTTGTTCCATTTTTTTATCAAATGATTAAAGATATTATTAAATAGATGAATACCTGGGGTGTTTGGTGCAGACTTTAAAATAGTGTTTTCAGATACCTTGTCCTGGTTTTATTTGCTAAGCACTGAGTTGACCTTATGCACAGCTAGCTTTACTTTGGCACTTTGTGTTTCTAAGTAATGAAAAGGACTTTAGATCCCTGCCCTTGGTGGACAGCCAAGTATACACCTATTTCCTGATAGTTCAGCCCATTCTGATGTCAAGACAAATATCTGTTTTTCCTTGCAGTATGCCATGAAACCAAAGTGGTGAGGCGGAGGGGACCGTTTTCCAAACATAAATAGTACAAATAACAGTCCTGGCTCATTTTTAGTTTCTCTCCGCCCCGCTCTGGCTCTTCTCCTTGGACTTCCAAAACCAAAACAGCTTAAAGAGTCAGTGACATAATATAAAATCTGGGTAATAAAGTCATGGAGGGCAGTTGTCCCAAGAGATCACAACATGGTAACAAGAAGGCCTGTTTTTTCAGTGCCCCCTTCTGCCACTTGTAATTGCACACAGGAAAGAGAGGCAGTTTTAAAAGGGATTATCCAGAGAGCCTTGGGGACTCAGGGCACTTCCAGATGACCATCCTGATTTATTTACAGAGAGATTAGATTATGCTGGCTATTAAATGAGCATTCATTCTTATTTTTTTGTGGTAAGGTTAAATGACATGTCAAAGCAAATGCTATCTCTCAGTTTCCCTACACTTTTGTTATTGCAAAAAGCCCAGCGTTTTGAGGGAGCAGGCCTGTTGTGCAGGACTTCCCAAACAACTAGAATTGCACAACCTGAATTGTCTGGTATGCAATTGAATCCTACCCCAAAATAGACATTCTCAGGCTAAGTCTGAGGTAAGCGTACATATTATAGAACTGTAGACAGAGACTGGAGGTTCAACAATGGTGATATTCTAGAAGCACCCAGAGTTGTGGAAATGTTGAAATTAGCCATCAGTATGCTCTTCTTATGTCCTCGTGTTATATTCAGTGTCATCAATCCAGGGAATTATATGCTAACTTTCAGTATTTCAGATACAGAGATTGACCCAAAGCACTCAACTACATCAAGCCTTTCCTGTTAATTTGGGAATCCAGTAAGTGTTAGTGCTCACCCACCCAATGTCTGCCCAATGCACTAGTATTAACTGCATCCCCTAACCAGGGTTCAGTTTTTTTATTTAAAGCAACCCATTGTATCTACTGCTGGGATGATGCTACAAAAAGAGGCCAACAGGCTGAAGGAGCCATTAACTCCATCAATTACTGCAAAGCAATAAGCAGCCATCATCTTTATAGCTGGTTATCTTTATGCCTGTTTCGGTAGCTTGCAAATGAACAAACTGAAACTGTGATTAGAAGACCCAATTAACATTGCCCTTAGCAATGAAGGCAACTGAAGAAATGGTGTTTATGGGAAAACAATCACTGCAAACTCAAAGTTTGTAGGGGCTTAGGCTCTTAGGGCCAAAATAGATGCCCACCTGGCGGAATGAAAAATCACAGGAGACGAGAGAGGCAGGTGTAACATGAGGCGTCTGGTCAGGGCGGACCCTGGGAGCCTCTTTTATTGAATATTACAAACATTGCCACAGGTGTGCTTGTCGCTGATTGGTTGATACATAAGCATGAGGTGGGAATTACATGTGAGAGGTGAGGATTACGTATGATCATTTATTATCGATGGATTAAAGGCTGGGAATCGAAGCTAGAACTAGACAGGCATGAAGCCTCCTAGAGATTAATATGGCACAAACAATTACTAATGATGGATCATGGCATGAAACAATATAACAATTAAGTTCTGTAGATGTGGTCAGCTAGGCATGAAGAGCGGGTCATGTTGTTTTCCATGAGCTTAGGATGACTGAACAAGGAGAGAATGTCTTGGTGTTTGGAACAGGTTTGTACAGTGTGTGCAGAAGCAGATTGCAAGAGAATGCAAGAGAAAAGGAGCAAGGCTTCTCCAAAATGCAGCAGGTATGGGCAGAAGGAAAACTTCCCTTTACCCACCCATCCTAAATTCTGCCAAGAGAAATTCCAAATCCAGGGAAATTTCAGGTAGCAATAAGCAGTGAAGTACCACTTTGGTCCACTTAACATGCATTCTTTAATCATTGTATCCATCTTCTTTCATTCACAGTCTGTCTTCGTGGAACAAAGGTCCATAAAAAATGCTACTTGGCATCCGATGGTGCAAAACATTTCCATGAAGCAAACGAAGACTGCATAGCCAAGGGAGGGACTCTTGCTATCCCCAGAGACGGCGATGAAACCAACGCTCTCCGAGAGTACAGCAAGAAGAGCTTGTCAGGTGTGGCAGATTTTTGGCTGGGTGTCACTGACATGGTAAACGAAGGGAAATTTGTTGATGTCAATGGAATGGTCCTCAACTACTTCAACTGGGACCGGTCACAACCCAATGGAGGAAAACGGGAAAATTGTGTCTTGTTTTCACAGTCAGCTCAAGGAAAGTGGGTGGATGAAGTCTGCCGTACTGTCAAACGATATATTTGTGAATTCCTGATCCCTTAATCACAGCTAGGTCTGCTTCCTTCTTTCACTTTTGAAACACATATATGGTAGGGATGACAGTTTGCAGTCATCACCAAGCTTCACAACAAATCCAGAGTCAGAGACCACACTTTCAGGTAATTAGTTTTGTATGGGGCAGTCAAAATAGCCTTTAGTCGTGATGGATTGTTGAGTTCAAGTGTATACCTCTTGATAATCCTTCCTGTTTACTAAAACTGCAAACCTCTCTTTTAAAGCAGATACTTCCTCTATTAATTAATTTTCCATTCAGTTGCAATTCCCTGTGTGTTCCGTTGCTGCAAGAAAATCAATGCTCTGCTTTGAACACTGCTAATGTCATAAACAGAGGTGATAGGACAACCAACACGGAATTGATTGTGCTGTTAGTGGTAGATCCACTATTTGATCCTAGTCAGTATCCCAGCACTGCAGGGTTAATTACAGGGTAGCTGCATTCCAAGATTTATAATGGACTGCAGGACAGAGGGAATGTGAGGTTTTGCTGTAAGCATACTGTAGATACTGAGTATTAAATCCTCATCAGTGTGGCTTCTTAAGCACACTTCTTATTTCCAAGGCTCCTATGATATCAGGACACAGGCAACAAACTACTCTTGTTATAATTCAAAGCTTGTTATAATTAAAAGTGTCCCTGCTATCAACATATATATAGTGAGTGGGATGAATACTTCTCTGACATGTAACTTCCCATCATGCTTTATATCTAACACATTTGAATATCTTCACTCTTTGCATGATTTACACATTTCAATAAAGTTATTTTCCAAAAGCACAAGAGCTGGATGTTGCAGTGGCAATGTTGTGTTTTAATGCATGGATGTGTGTGTGTGAACAGGGGAGTCGAAGACATCCAATCCTATGTACACTTATTTGAGAGTATGTGCTGTACTTCATTTTAAAGTTATCAGCCCATTAAACACAGTGCAAGCCTATACATGTCTACAGTGGTAACTTGGTTTAAGAACAGCTTAGTTTATGAACAACTTGGATTAAGAACGCTGCAAACCCTGAAGTAGGTGTTTTGGTTTGTGAACTTTGCCTTGGAAGCAGAACATGTTCCTCTTCCTGTTGAGTGTGTTCCATTTGTAAATCAAGTCCCCTGCTGCTATGGGAAAGCACGCCTTGGTTTAAGAATGCTTTGGTTTAAGAACGGACTTCCGGAACGGATTAAGTTCATAAACCAAGGTACAACTGTACTCATAAGTAATCTCCACTGAGTTATGGGGAACTTACTCCCAGGTAAATGTGTATAGGATTGCAGCCATTTGAGTTTAACTTAACTTCAATTAACTTATTAATTATATTTGTCTGTTGATAAAACCAGTAATTCTGAAGTAAAAAGCCTAATTTGTGGTTTTGTTGATTATGCAGTTTTATTTGTGAGCCACCCTGTGGAAAAAAATTTTTTTTTTAAGGTTGACATATAATAATGTAAATTAAAAATAGAATAAAATGACCCACATCTGTCACAGCAGGCACCAAAAGCCATCCCCTTCTATGGGAAAGGGCCACCTATGGGCTGGCCACGAGTAGACCCACTGAAATAAATGAGTCTACTCTGAATAAAAGTTGGCTGGCTATATAAAATCAGTTAACTGGGTTTTTGAAAACCAATCTTATTAGTTAAACATTGCCAACCTTCTTAATTCTGAGTGAACATGCATAGGAATGGGTTGCAATTCTTATTGGAAGGACATAGGAAGCTTCCTTATGCCAGCATTATCTACTCTGTTTAGCAGCAGCCCTGCAGGGTCTGAGGCAGAGAGAGAGAGAGGTGTCCACCCCTCCCCCTCACTGCCTGCCCACAATTCCTACTATTGGGTCCTGCTTAATTTGAGAGACCAGGAATTGAACCAGGGGCCTTCTGCTTGAAAAGTTGGTGTCTTACCATTGATAGGGTTCCTTCCTATCAGAATAACAGAGTACATAATCATTGTTTCAGTTTGTTCAATCCAGGTGTGATCTGATCTTAAAATAATCATTCATTAGCCCTAAATAGTGGTGAATTCACAACTTTTAAAATTGCGGGTCCCTCCCCACTTTCTGTTTTTTGGTTGTTGTTGTGTTTTTTTAAAGCTTGCTTTCAAAAGCATTTCCATGATTACTCAGCCAAATTTTCTCTTGGTCCTGATCTTCCACTAGGAAACAAAAGTTATTGTTTTCCTCATTCACAGTAGGAGCGTAAGTAAAAGATATGTTAAGGCAAGCTGGTAGTGGTTGGAGGTGTTAAAAAGGTAAAGGTACCCCTGCCCGTATGGGCCAGTCTTGACAGACTCTAGGGTTGTGCGCCCATCTCACTCAAGAGGCCGGGGGCCAGCGCTGTCTGCAGACACTTCCGGGTCACGTGGCCAGCGTGACAAAGCTGCATCTGGCAAGCCAGCACAGCACACGGAAACGCCGTTTACCTTCCCGCCAGTAAGCGGTCCCTATTTATCTACTTGCACCCGGGGGTGCTTTCGAACTGCTAGGTTGGCAGGCGCTGGGACCGAACAACGGGAGCGCACCCTGCCACGGGGATTCGAACCGCCGACCTTTCGATCGGCAAGCCCTAGGCGCTGAGGCTTTTACCCACAGCGCCACCCGCGTCCCTGGAGGAGGTGTTACTGTCATCCATTTACCTTCAGCAGAGACGGGAGTCGCAGGCAAACCTTGGATTAACACTCCACCTGGGTTTAAGGCACAGTTACAGGAGGAGCATGGAGAAGGCAGCTGCCAACCTCTGCAAGCTGTCCTGGAAGCAGCTCTGAGTACCTTGCCTGCCATAGTGCTATACAGGCATTGGAGGTTATATTCTCCATTGAAGGGCAAAGGTTGCTGTGCTGCTGGTGGGTACTGGCCCTATGAGCCTGACTACTGCACCAGTAGTGCTGTCCACTCAAGTTAGGTGCTGAATCTGATGCTGCTATTTGAACACCACAGCATTGCACTCCTTTGCAGGCCACAGGAAAACACCTTTGCAGCATCCATATTCTAGGGCTTGGGCTCAGGATGGTATTGGACAACATGAAAGCCTGTTGGGACCAGGAGCACTTCTTCACAAATACTGGGATCTTCGCAGAACAGCTGCTCAGCATCCTGGAACATCCACATCTTGCTGGGCACAGTGAGCGAGAGAGAATTTGCCAGGGCTTTCTCCTGAGCAAGCCAGAGCACAGAAGCTGGCATCTTTCAGTTCGGAAAACATATACAATGTTAATGGGGAACAAAGTTTCTCTGGGTGGGTGAAGATCATCTTTCCAAGCCAGGAGCCTAAGACTGGGAATAAAGGTGGTGCTGAAATTACATGGGGTACAGAGCAGTCTCTCTGAACTCATTATATTTTGTGATGGTCAGCTTAGCTATTGTTATTAAAATAACACAGGAAGCTACTTTATGGAGCGTCAGACTATTGGCTTATCTAGCTCAAATTTGCCTACAGTAGATTATTTCTTATTTTGCACCCCACTTTGTACCTGTGTTTTCACCTTCACCCCCATTCCCATTCTGTCTCCTCTTTTCTCTCCCTGCCCTCTCAAAGAACCAATTGTAATCCTATCCCAGGGGTAGGCAACCTAAGGCCCGGGAGCCGGATGTGGCCCAATCACCTTCTCAATCTGGCCCGCAGATGGTCAGAGAATCAGCATGTTTTTACATGAGTAGAATGTGTCCTTTTATTTAAAATGCATCTCTGGGTTATTTGTGGGGCCTGCCTGGTGTTTTTACATGAGTAGAATGTGTCCTTTTATTTACAATGCATCTCTGGGTTATTTGTGGGGCATGGGAATTCATTCATTCCCCCCCCCAAAAAAAAAAACATAGTCCGGCCCATCACAAGGTCTGAGGGACAGTGGACCGGCCCACAGCTGAAAAAGGTTGCTGACCCCTGTCTCCTATCCCCTCCCTTTCGACCAGCCTATATTTTGTTGCACAAATCCTGCCCCCAAACACAGACAACTCCACCCAGCCCCCTTCAAAAACCTCATGCCCTGTCCCTACTTCCAGAAGCTCCAGCTCATCTTTCATGCTAATATCTCTCTTCTTCTCCCTTCTCTTTCCAAATTTATCTAGGGACTTTCTCACTCCCATATTCAGCACAATTTCTCCAAATGCCCTCTTGATCCTCCACAGAGCTACCAATGTTCTCTTTAACCCCAAGCACTTTCACTTGCCCCCCCCATATCAATTCCTCATCCTCTCTACTCCCTTCCCCAGCAGCCCTGTCATCAGAGGCATAAAATTGCCATATTGACAGGAGAATGTACAAAATTCATTCAATATATGTATGCACATTCTCCGAAGCCTGCAATTATGTATAGTGACTGCGAAATGTGCAAAATTCCCTCTTCATGGCTGGACTATGTGCACATTTGTCATGAGGCCTGGCGGATATGCATCATGGTCACATTAACCACTCAACTTACATTCTCCTTAACATCCTTACACAGAGAGTGAAAGCGAGAGAGAGCAGGGGTGGGGATGGTGTTTAATCTGACCACAGAGGTGTAGAAAAGAAACATGTAGGATTATTCGTAATTCATCCATATTCAAACTAACTTGCTTGATACTTCCCATGTTACAAAACATGGTACTTCCCATGTTACAAAACAGATATGAAATTGAATAATCTTACAGATTAATAACCAATGTATAGATTCATAAAACAAGTACATGATACAGCTCTATTGTACAATCAGGCAGTAGACTTTTTAAAATAATAAATAAATTATATGAAATAAATAGTTAGAAACTTTGGGTTGGAAGGATTTAAGTATACAGGCAATATAAAATGGTCTGTGTATCATTCTTTTGGTTAATCGTTCGTAGCATAAAAAGATTACAAGCAGACTATTCTGCTATATTATTTTGTATACTGCACCATCTGGTGCTGTGTTCAGTTATTACACTTACAATGCAGTGCAGTGTTTTTATCATAGCTTCCCTGACTAGTGGGACAATCATACAAATCAGATGAACATTTTAATTTGTCAACTCAGTCTGCATGGCAATTCATGTAGACTTTCTGAGTCTGAAAACTGAATTCTGCTATATATCCACTATATAGCTACCCGCAATACTTTGGGATTTGTATTTTTATAGATGCAGTTTTTACAACCAAGAGTGCTGGGTGCTAGGGAGTTTCTCTGGGAATGCAGACTGCGGCACAAAGCAAAGTGGCTACAAAGTGCGTAAAATGGGATTTATTCTCATGTGTGAAAAAGATTGTAGGCGCACCTGAATTACAAAACAACCGCTGAACTTGAAACT